TCCTGCGAAGGGGCACGGACCCCGGGCCGAGGCTGCCCAGGGGGGCTGTGGAGTCTCCTTCTCTGGAGATATTCCAGCCCCGCCTGGCCGCGGTGCTGTGCAGCCTGCTGTGGGTGACCCTGCTTGGGCAGGGGGTTGGGCTGGGTGACCCCCAGAGGTCCTCTCTAGCCCCCAACATTCTGTGATTCTGTGTGATTGTGTGAATTGGGAGTACCTGTTCCCGAATATGCGACTCGGCTGTACCCTGCTCACAGCGATGGTGAAGCAGGCAGTTGGCTTTAGGGTTTTAGGGCAGATCTGCACAGTGACTTCTCCAGATCTTGACCAACTGCTCTTCGTTGGGGTGGAGGAGGTACGCGAGTGGAGAGCTGTAGGAGCCGTGGTGAATATGTTCATTTCTAATGGGATAGCTGCGATTTTGGGTTTGATTGGCTGTGAAGTGGATGTTCAGAGAGCAGTTCTGATTTCTGTTTTACAGCAGTGCGAGGGTTTTTTTGCAAGCTGCTGGCGTCAGGAGGGACTTGGAGCTTTCAGATGTGTTGGGTTCTGCTTGCAGACGTGAAGAATTCTGCTTAAACCAAATGCGTTTAATCTCTCAAAACATTCTTAAAGGAGAATTTAAAACTCCAAAAGCGATTCACCTGAAAATTACACTGTGCATTTGAGAAGTCAGGTGTCTGAAACGGATTTCTGTATTCATTTAACAGAATTATGTGAAGGTCACTGTCATTGGGGTTTCCCTTTTCTTTCTGGTTCTAGGCAAAGTGCTTCATGGATTTCAAAGCTGGAGGTACATTATGTCACATTCTTGGTGCTGCTTACAAATATAAGAATGAACAGGGCTGGTAAGTTTCTGTTTTGATTTCCACACCTTTTGCATGAAATTAAGCACATGAAATGCCTATGCCGACTACTTCCAGTTTAATACTTCCGGAGAAATGGGCAGGCAAGGGAGTTGGAGATGGGAAGAGGAAATCTTTTCCTGTTTTGCTGATGGTAGCTTTTTTAAGACACACCCCCACACTTCTAAATTTAAAGAGAAGTTGTCCAAGTTTAAGGTCTTGAGCCTGTAGGTTGGGAGTTAATTATGAGCTGGAGACTTTTTTGTGACATTTATTTGCTGTGTGACTGAGCAAAGTAACCAGTATCTTAGAATTGTTATTTTCCATCTAGAAGAGGTAAATCTTTGTCACTGTGTTGAGTATAGGGTTTAGTTATAGCTGGGAAGATAATAAGCGTTGCATAGATACTAATAAATACTAAGTTTTCCATTGCTTATCAACCTCTATAAATAGGGAGTACAAGTAGTTGGAAACGCTGCCTGTGTAGCTGTTGACACTAATATTAAAACTACTCACGTGACACCCCAGTGGTGTCCTGACCTGTGTGTTTCTAAGCTGTAATCCTCTTTCCAAAACAGCAGTAGCATGGATTACTATATTTGAGAACATTGGAAAAAAACCTGAGGATGAAGAGCTGATAGATAGAAGTAAGCGGAGATTGGGTTTGTACGTGAATTTAATTGGTTTCTGGTCTGATGTTGTGCAGACCCATAACTGCACTGCTGGAATCCACTATGCTTCTGCTACCTGCCAGAGCAGATCAAAAGGCAAAAATCAAGTTGTTTTGGTGTGGTGGGTTGTTTTGGGGAGCTGTTTCTACTCGTACCAGCTAAACGGGTGTCTGAGGTGGATATATCGGAAAGCTGGTACGAGTAAGCTGCCGTCAGGTTTTTTCCTACCCCACTATTGCCAACGCCTGGGACACGCTGTGTGATTGTGGCGTTCTGTGTGGCCTGTCTTTGAGGAATGTCTTGCTACCTCTTTGCCTATAAGATAAAGGAGTTCAATGGCTCCAACTTCACGAATATTTAAACATTTCAAATTTTTCCAAACAAATTTAGTTTTCAGCTGTTGCAATTTGTCAGCAAAACTCCAATACGTGATTGCCTCCTCTCTTCTCCCTCTCTTGCTGATCCCTCAGAACTAGTGGTAGTGTCTTGTGTTTGTGCATGTGGGGTGTAGAGGGAAGTAATACTTGAATTTAACTCTGAGGATCAGACTTAGAGCTTGGAATGTATCCTTCACTGACTCAACCAAATAATATGTGGTGTTTTGCCTGAACTGTGATTTTTTTTTTTCTTTTTTTACGGTATGCATTGTTGCTCTTGCTTAACCTGTTTGTGAATGATCTGTCTTATAGGAGAAGTACCTTTCCTCGTCATAATAGGTATGTCTGAAAAATGCACTTACCCAGTGCAGCTGGACATACCTTGTCTATCCCTGCAATTCCAATAGTTGTTTGCTAAAGCCTGCCAGAGGGTATCCGTTAAACTAAGGACAGGAGGAATTAGTACTGCTATTTTATCTAAAAGGGCAGCTTAAAAAAGTGCTGTTTCTGAATATATTGACATGCTTCTCTTAAAGGATGGGTTTCCAAAGCAGGCAAAAACCTGGGGCGTGTATAGCATTAAATGAATACATAATGCAGAGTTTAGGCAACCAAATGCAACAAATTTTGGTTAAACTTGAATGCCTTAAGTGTCTTTGTTTCATAGGTACTTCAGACTTTATTAGGTGTCTAGGAAAACAGGTTTGTGTTTGTTTATTTGGCATTTATCTTCCTTTACTTCCTTGAGACTGTTAGGTTTGAGAAGCAGAAGTTTTGAATACAGACTATGAAGCTGTCAGTGGGTCAGTCCTGGAGCAGTGGCTTGATCTTGACTCTCAAAATCCTTGACTCTCAAAATCCTTGACTCCCAAAATCCTTGACTCCCAAAATCCTTGACTCCCAAAATCCTTGACTCCCAAAATCCTTGACTCACAAAATCCTATGCGTTATAGGTATGAAATGATTTACTGGATCGTGTTGTGCGGTGAACTGACAGACGTATTAATGACTGGCCCTGCTTCTAGAAGTCAGTGTAAACCTTTCAGCATGCACAACGCTATTTAAAGAGGTTGTAAATTTCTCTTAAAATTAAAAGACAATTCCAATAAATACGCCAGTGTGTTACCTTGAAGGCGTTTGCCAGGTCCGTAGTGTGAAGGAAGGAGCCCGCAGTACTGCTTTAGGAGAGAAGCCATCAGTGCTTGCGGTGCTGCCCAACACCACGGCGTATTTCCGCAGTACCGCCTGCGTGGGCAGCTTCTTTCTGAAAATGCTAGGGAGCCTCAAGTGAAGAAAAACGCAGTGGTCACAGCTGGAGTGTGTCTGTGTTTAATTTAGCAGTGTAATATTGATGTGATGCCGTCCTCGTGCGGTAATGGGGTTTGTGACTGAAACTCAGCGCTGCTTTGGTTTACCTTCATTGTATATTTATACACTTTAAAAATTGATTTGATGGAAAGAAGCATGTGTTTAAAAGAAACTGTCATTAAATACGGGCACAGGAATAAATTCTTGTATTTTAAGTCGGGGTGTTCACTTCAAGCGTGTCGGTCACTGCATGGTAATTACGTGCGTGGCTTTTTCAGCGGGTGAAGTGTACGGGGCACTTTTTATTTTCCACGCTGAAATCCCTCCTGCTGGTAGTGGTACTCCTGGACACCAGCTCAGCACTCCGCTTAAGGGTGTTTTCAGACCCTGGCAGCGGCTTTTTCCGAAACATGGGAGGTCCAGAAGCGCCCCAGAGGGTGTTTTACAACCGAGACTCAACAACCTGCTTACCTAAACATGTCGTCGTGCTTTGGGAAGGGCTGGGTTGTTGGGGGTCAGGCCCAAATCTGCCGCGGAGGCTCCCGTGGGAGAGCGCCGGTGCGGGTGCTGAGCTTGCCGAGGGGCTGACGTGACTCCTGTTCTTGGCGTGACTCCTGTTCTTGTCCCACCTCTCGGCTTCTTGGGGGTCGCATTCAAATTCTTGGTTTGAGTTGATTCGTCTGTGACTGCTGGGTATGGGTACGCTGCGGGAGGGTACAGCAGAAGACCTTTCGGGGCTCCTGGTTCTTCCCAGCAAAAAGTCTCAGATTTTGTGCTATGCCCCCCCATTTCTGATAAATCTGCGTTGTTATTTCGAGAATTTTGATTACTTTGTCAATGAAGTAGCAAACATTAAAGTACCAGAGTCCAGCAGAGATGATTGTAGAATGCTTGCGTGGATTCTGAGCCCCCTGTGCGCTGGGGGGGTGGCCCGTTCGCAAAGACACGGATAATTTGGAAAATCTCAGGCAAACGAATTGCTGTGTTTTATCCTGGATTAGAATCTGGGACTGGTGGATGGTGCAACTAGAAGTAAGAGAAACGCCAGAGCTCGTTCATGAATTTTCTCATCTAGTTGTTGGAATCCATCAGGAGCATTCGATAATGTTTCTGTTTAATGACCCTCTGTGACCGTAGTGGAACACACAACGCTTCTACAGGGTTTTGTTGGACAATGTCAACCTTCATTTTTCCTGAACGTTTCACGCATCAGTTGCGTTTTGTTGATTTGATTCACTGTGATTTTTCTTGCTTTTGAGGGCTGCCAAGCGAAGCCAAAATATTTGTGAATGTGCTGTAAAGGTTCTTACGTAGCCACCATGATAAACTGTTTTTATGTGGAATGTGAAAGATTCTTGACTGCTGAATGGAGAAGAGTTGAATTTAATATTTTTGAATCATTTTCTTGAACAGGCGGAGGTTTGACCTGCAGAATCCATCCCGAATGGATCGAAACGTGGAGATGTTCATGAACATTGAGAAAACACTAGTGCAGGCAAGCAACTCGTGTACAAAACTGTGTGTGTTCCCGTGCTCGGGGAAGGGATTCGCTGGTGTGCTTGTGTCCCTCAGCTGTGACCCGCTGAAGAGTTTCATCATGGATTTCTGTAGGAATATTACACACTTCCCTCCCTCTCCCACCCATCACAATCCCATGTTATCACTTGGAAAGTTCAGGGCTGTTTCACTGGTGTGTTGTGGATCTGCCTAGGGTGAGGAAAAGCTGTTTGTAAGGTAGGAGAAAGCATCCGGAGCGTCTGCGTCTTCCTGCGAAGGAAGCTCCCGTAGGACCGAGTCACTGGTTCGGTACGGAGCCGTTCAGTTGCTGGCTTTCTTCAGGCTTTCAGCTTGGTAGGAGTTTGACTTTTTTCTGGGCTGGGGTACATTTTAAACTCTCTGGCTTGCTGTGTCGAACAAGTTACTGCCAGAAGAGAGCAGATAATCGCTGTGTGGAATCTACGTTGAAGTTAATTGTGAATAACGGATTTTTTTTTTTCCCCCAAACTCTGAAACCAAGCTCAGTGTTTAATGTAGTGAAGACATAACTTTCAGGTTCTTGTGAAAAATGGGAATAGGAGGGACAGCAGAAAGAAACAATACTCTTATGATAAAAAACTATTGCCACTGGATGGTGGTTTCAGTACGTAACAGTACGTGTTAAAACCCCAAGCGAAAGGGATGTCTACCTCCAGATATCACAGGAATGCTTGAATCTGCCTGTCAGTGCAACGGGGCAGATTCACGTCTGGAAGTTGACACGCTGGGGACTTATTCCCTTTCAAGCAAAGTCTTCCAGAGCCTGTCAAAAATGTTGACATCAAAGACATGGTTTCCAGTGAAGATGTTGTTGGGGAAGCTGGAACGTGAGAACAGCTGCGTTGGGTCACGTTCGCTTTATCCGTGACGACGTCTCTGACAGAGCTACGAGCAGATCTGCAGAGAGCAGAAGGAAACCCAGCGTCAGACTTTGGCGGGGAGGCGTGCGGAGGAAACGCTGCTGTCAGGGGGGGTTCTAGAGCGAGAGTTCGTGTGCCCTGTCACAAGCTGCTGCGTGCTCCTTTTGAGATTTTTCAGGCATTAGTGATGTTAATAGGAATTTTTGGATTTATGTCACAGGTGGGCTACTAATTTCTGATTTAATTTCTTGTTCTCCCCTCTAGAACAACTGTCTGAGCAGACCGACCATCTACCTCATTCCAGATATAGAACTGAAGTTGGCTAATAAATTGAAGGACATTGTCAAACGTCACCAGGTAAGTGTTAAACAGCGTATCTTACAGCAACTGTTGGGTCCGTTGTAAGGTAAAATGTGTTTGCCAGACTTCCCCGTATCGGTTACGCCTGGGTTGTGCCTGATGACACAAGGCAGCAGCAGCAGCAAGACACCTCAGAAGTTCATCGTCTGTAAAACGTGATTAGGAGTTATGCTCACGTGGAGCTTGAATCAGAACTCTGTTCTAAAAGTAAATCTGAAATTGCTGCAAGGTGAAGGGTAGGTATTTGTGTCACGGTGAGTTGGCTGCGGGCCCCAGCTGATTTAATGTTGAATACCTGCTGAGATAAAGCAGAAGCTCACTGTCTGGCCAAGTCTGGGACCAGAGAGAAGGCAGTGTGCAGTACAGCTGTTCCAGATGTGTGGAGACAGCGTAAAGAAGCTTTACTCTTAAAATGATCGCTACCTTTTTTGCTTTATTTTACTTTTTTCTCGCTTGTGCTGAACAGAACACAAGCAACAACAGTCTCTTGCTTATTAGGTAGTCAGCGAATTTCCCAGAGTCAACATCTTGCCGTCGTAATTTAATATACTAAGTGATGAATTGAAGACGATTAATAGCTTCATCTCTTAAAAATGTAAATAGTCCTTTCACTTGCGCTAAGAGAAACATCCTGGAATGTGAACCCTAGATGGTCTGATAGCCTTTGGTGTTATGATGGTTCATGGCTGTAGCCAAAGGAAACTGTTTCTTTTCCAGATCCAACCTATTTCTTGTGCTGTGGTTATGAACCATCGTATCGGCTTCAGCTGTGTAATTTTTCACAGGTCACTCTTAATTGTTCAGCTGATTCAGGATGCTTGTTATTGCTTAAATTAGAGTTAATGATTCCATTTTCCTTTCATAAAGGATTTCTAATAGTGAACTCCAAGCACGCTATATCCATGAATGATTTAAGTGACGCAGCTTTGTCTCTAAAGGAATGTGAAGAACTGAAAACAGAAATTGTCCCTAATTCTGCTCTTTGGGCTTTCTTCCTTTGCCCTACCTCAAAATTCTCATCTTGTATTTATGTTGCTACCAGTGCTTGCTCAGTGTCTTGAGTTTTGTTTTTTACCAGTTGCTGTTGTCTGCCCTCTGCCCCATCCCCAGTACCTGTAGCTCCCTCCGCTCTGGCGTTCCCAAGTCCTCTCTGCTCTGCCTGCAGCCCGTGCAGAAGAACTGCCCATCTCTTGTCCCAGCACAGCGCTAGCGTGATCTCCAGGCTGGCGAAAAGAAGTGTCCGTAAGGTCTTTGTTCTCTCTGCGGATGAAGATGATGTTGTTCTTCCCAGTGGGCAAACTCTCTGATTTTCTTTGTAAACGTGGAGGATTCTTCTGAGAAGAGCCAGAATGATAATTTAGGAACTTGAAAGCAGGCAATGAGTGAGATTTAGCATTTGTATCTGTCTGCTTCCATGAATTGCTTAGCTGGTAGAGAACTCTTCCATCTCGTTAGGTCTTCGGCTTCCAGTCGCGCTCAGTTTAGCAGAGGCAGGAAATGCACCTTACAATCTGTTTACATCTTTCAGAAAGCTGTTTTAATGTAACATTATCCATCCCTTTCTTTTCAGTCAAGATGGCACCTAAGAGAGATTTCCTGCTTATCTGTGGTGCGTTGGGTTTTTTAAAGCTGCATAGGAAACAGTTGAAACTCACTGGTCTGATTCACAAAGCTCAGACTAGATATCTAGAAGAGCATCTTTAGCTCATAGGGAAGGGATAATTTCCATTATTGTTCCTTAAACTCTTTGCAGGTTCTCCATTCATGCCAGGGCTCCTTCCCTTAGAATGCTTTTAATTTCTTCTTACTTTCCACCTTTCTTTTTTGCTGTTGCTCAGAGCACCTCGTCTCTCTTTACCCACTTCTGTGAACTCTTGTTGGTGTAGGAACTCTTGCCCTTCAGCCCCTGACGCTGGAGTAGTCTCCAAATATTGTGACCATAATGCAGTGCATCTTCATGTTTTTTTTTAATTTTCCTCCTTTTGATGCCATCTTCCAAAGAAGTTGTTCGCATATTGTTGGCTGTAACCTGTCCCGTGTGTTCCTAAGTCCTTTAAATAAATCTGTCAAGTATTTATGGAATGTAAATTTTGAAGAACATTTTCATACAAACAGTTCCAAAACATAACTCCTCTGTGGAAGAGTCTGCAGTCTGTGAATTTCTGCTGTCCTTGGAGATGACTCTTCGCATATGGAGACTGGAGGTGTCTCTGCAGCACGTGGGAGAATCCTTGTGGCCCTCCATGTGAGGGAAGGACAGGATTTGCTTGACTGGCCACACTAAGCAGGGTTCTACATTTATTTATCGTAGAATACCAGGTTGGAAGGGACCTCGGGAATCTTCTGGTCCAACCTTTCTTGGCAAAAGCACGGTCTAGGCAGGGTGGCCCAGCAACCTGTCCAGCCGAATCTGAAGTGTCCAACGTTGGGGAATCCACCACTTCCTTCTATCGCGC